GGTGTTTGTGTAGGTGCAAGAGGCGGCCCTTGGGGATTTCTATGATAACACGAAGGGTGCGAAACAGGCTAATCCGGGTGGGAGTGTTGGGAAGGTAGTCGTCTCCTCTCTGGTTGGGTATTTGACAGTCTCTATTAGAATCATAAAAGGAAGCATCACATCAACTGGCTAGCCGAGGACACTATCGATAACGGTGCGAAGCGATTGTTGGACCTAGGCACACAGGCTGGTAAGAGAGGCCAGACAGCTCGGAAGTACGGCTGGTAAGGTCTGTTGATAACGTAACAGTAATTGTAGCATTGATCGGTTTTACAGTAATAATGGTGTTCTTCTGTTGGGCTCTTTATGGGGGGTGTTATCGTGTAGTAGTTATGCTATATATGTGGGCAACGACAGCGGTGGCGGCTTTGGTTCCTGGGCTTATTACGGTGGGGCTATCATGTTCTTATATTAATGAGCTCTGCAGGAGGTTCCATATACCAGATCCTAGTAGTCTTATTTGGGTACATGCGGTAGACTCTAGAGCTGAACTTGAGGATGCTCCTGCTGATGCTATGTTCTACGAGTCGGACGCCGGTGCTTTATCGGATGATGGACGGGTGGTCATGTGTCATTATCCAACGCAGACCACGAGTGATCTCTATCTGGACGAGCTCTTGTCTGAGGTAGAAGAACGAGGAGTTGGTCTTAAGATCGATATCAAGCTGGAGGAGTTGGTCGGACCTGTTGGGGACCTCTTGTCAAGGGACGAAGTGGACGTACCAGTGTGGTGGAATGCTGATGTATTCGGTGATAGAAAGCTGCCACTTAGAGCACTGGCTGAGGTTGCTGATGAGAATACTGTGTTGAGTCTGGGGTACATCGGAGTGCGCTTTGGAGAGATCGAGAGGAAAGACATAATCACACAATTGACAGAATCGGTAACCAACACGACTGTTTTAGTGTTGTGGTAGGAATCTTGCTTTTATCAGGGCCTTGTTTCTGCCTCTTCTGGGGAGGTTACTTGTCGACATATCACATTCGCATTCTCAGCGCGCTTGGCTCTAACGTGCATCCCTGAGCTTGTGAAGTTACTTGACGCTTTACCGACTACTTCTTTGACTCTGTGGACGGGGGCGAATGACATGACGGGCTTGAGCAAAGCTGAGGAAATGCAGTTGCGACAGGGCTTGCCTATGGAACGAGTTTTTCTTGATATCAAGCGCCAGACTTGGCTAGGGTGGTTCGCCTCCTGGCTGCAGTGGGCGTGATTATAATGATGTTTTATAGTCTTGCATTGGTATAATCTTATACTCTCTCTTGGAGTTGTTGGTGGGCAGCCACCAGAAAGCGGTAGATAGTGAATCGTATCATATTTTGTTGTAACGAACGCCTGGTAGTAGTGTTGATAATTAAGAGGTCGGATAGTGGAGTTGGAGGTAAACCGATATGTGTGTGATGGGCCTCAACCTATGTGGACAGGAAGTAGATGGTGAATCGTACATACCATAATTTTGGATACTCTCAGTCTGATTTGCTA